TTAGCATCAGTAATCAGACAACAAAAAGAAATAAAAGGCATCCAAATCAGCAAATAAGTCATCCTCTCAATCTTTCACAGATGACATGATCTTTATGTGGAAAACCCAAAAGATCCCCCCCCCCCAAGTTGGTAGAACTCATACAGCAATTCAGCAATGTGACAGGATAAAAAAAATCAATGCACAGAAATTAGTTGCTTTTCTATATGCTAACAATGCAACTGTTGAAAGAGAAATTAAGGAATTGATTCCATTCTCAATAACAACAAAAATCACAAGATATCTTGGAATAAACCTAACCAAAGCAGTAAAAGATCTATACTCTAGAAACTATAAAACACTTATAAAAGAAATTGAGGAAGACACAAAAAGATAGAAAAATATTCCATGCTTGTGGATTGGAAGAATGAACATCGTTAAAATATCTATCCTGCCCAGAGTAATTTACACTTTCAATGCCATCCATATTAATATACCATTGGAATTTTTCAAAGTGCAGGAATAAAAAATTCTAAAATTTTTATAGAATCAGAAAAGACCCTGAATCACTAAGGGAATGATGAACGAGAAAAACAAAGCTGGGGGCATCATGTTGCTTGACTTCAAGCTATATTACAAAGCTGAGATCACCAAGACATCATGGTATTGGCACAAAAACAGACACATAGATCAATGGAATAGAATAGAGACTCCAGTAATGAATCCTTAACTCTATAGTCAACTAATCTTGGTCAAATTAGGAAGAATTATCCAGTGGAAACAAGATAGGCTCTTTAATAAGTGGTGCTGGGAAAATTGGACAGCTACATATAGAAGAATGAAACTGGACTATTCCCTTACACCGTACACAAAGATAAACTCAAAATTGATGACAGACCTCAATATGAGACAGGAGTCCATCAAAATCCTGGAGAACCTAGGCAGTAACCTCTTTGATATCAGCCAAAGGAACTTCTTTCAGGACATGTCTCCAAAGGCAAGTGAAACAAAAGCAAAAATTAACTTCTGGGACTTCATCAAGATAAAAGCTTCTGCATAGCAAAGGAAACAGTCAGCAAAACTAAGAGGCAACCTACAGAATGGGAGAAGATATTTGCAAATGACGTTACAGATATAGGGCTGATAACCAAGATCTATAAAGAACTTCTCAAACTCAACACTCAATAAACAAATAAGCCAGTCCAAAAAATGGGCAGAAGACATGAACAGACACTTCTCCAAAGAAGACATCCAAATAGCTAACAGACACATGAGAAAATTTTCAACATCTCTAGCCAGCAGGGAAATAAAAATCAAAACCACATGAGATACACCACATACCAATTAGAATGGCAAAAATTAACAAAACAGTAAACAACAAATGCGAGGATGTGGAAAAAGGGGAACACTCTTACATTGTTGATAGGAATGCAAGCTGGTGCAGCCACTCTGAAAAACAGTATGGAGGTTCCTCAAGATGTTAAAAATAGAGCTACACTATGACCCAGCAATTACACCACTAGGTATTTACCCCAAAGATACAGATGTAGTGAAAAGAAGGGGCACTTGCACCTCAATGTTCATAGCAGCAGTATCCATGATAGCCACACCTTGGAAGGGGCCAACAGTGAAGACCAAGATGGTCTTCAACAGATGAATGGATAAAGAAGATGTGATACATATATAAAATGGAATACTATTCAGCCATCTGAAAGGATGAATACCCACATTTGCACCAACATGGATGGAATTGGAGGGGATTATGTTAAGTGAAGTAAGTCAAGCAGAGAAAACTATCATATGGTTTCACTCATATGTGGAACATAAGCAATAGCATGGAGGACCATAAGGGAAGAGGGAGAAATTAGAGAGGGAGATTAACCATGACAGACTATGGATCCTAGGAAACAATCTTAGGGTTTCAGAGGGGAGGAGGGTGAGGGAAAGAGGTAACAGGGTGATGGGTATTGAGGAGGGCACATGCTGTGATGAGCATTGGTTGTAATACATAACTAGTGAATCACTGAATACCACATCAAAAACTAATGATGTACTATACAGTGGCTAACTGAACATAATAAAAACAAATAAAGAGAGGTAACAGTGATTTTCAGATGGAAAGGACCTAACTTGTCTGTTTTTTTTTTTTTTTTTAACTCGCCTTTTAGGGAATATTCCCTGAAAGATTTATTGAACTCTTACTATAGGCAAGATAATCTATCTGGGACTTGATTCTGTATTCAAAATTTCATTATTGGCACAGCCTAATTCTGAGTAGGTGCAAAGCTACAAATACAAATTTCGTCTGCTCCCACAATCACTTTTGTGAGTGATTATGTACCTATGTCCCATTTCTGGCTGGGGATATTTCTACTTTACATGAAGCTGTATTCTACCACACTTCCCTTGAGATTAAGAATAGAGATATCATTCACTGATTTTTGACAATTATTGGTTTCTTTATTCTTGCACATTTTAGTGCTGTTTTAAAATTTTTTTTCCAAAATATGTTCAGTTGCCAGGAAGAATTATACAGAACTTAAGTGGGAATTTAATACATTTTGTATAGGTGAGAATACCTGCCCTTGCTTTATTCTGCATTTTTCTCTCTGTGCTATTTCTCGCATGCTAATAATGTGCATCTAATTTGGTGAAGCTTTTAGGCAAAGTTAATTTTATCATTAGTACATTTCAGGTTTTCTCCCTCCCATCTAGGTTCTATGTTGTGTTTTATTCTACTTTGAAAGCATCCGTTTTTAAACTATTAAAGTTGAAATTGTACATAAATTATTTCACTTAGCCAAAAAAAAAGGTCATATGCTTAATCCACCGAGCAAATGAAAAACATCCTATGCTTATGGATTAGAAGAACAGATATCATTAAAATATATATACTACACAAAGCAATCTACAAGTTTAATGTAATCCCTATCAAAATACTACCATCATCTTTCACAGAGCTAGAATAAACAATCCTAAAATTTGTATGGAAATACAAAAGACCCCAAATAGAGGAATCTTGAAAAAGAAAAGCAAAGCTGGGGGCATCATGTTGCTTGACTTCAAGCTGTATAACAAAGCTGAGATCACCAAGACATCATGGTATTGGCACAAAAACAGACACACAGATCAATGGAACAGAACAGAAAACTCAGGAATGGACCCACATCTATAGGATCAACCAATCTTCTTCAAAGCAGGAAAGAATGTCAATTGGGAAACTCCATGTAGTTTTTATTTCTTTGATTTCCTGGTTGATCCATTCATTATTTAGTAGCATGTTCCTTAATCTCCATGTATTTGGAATTTTTTCAGATTTTTTTTCCCTGTGATTGACTTCTAGTTTTATATTGTAGTGGTCAGAAAGGTGCATGGTATGATTTCAAAGTTTTTGCATTTGACCAGGCCTGTTTTGTGACCTAATATGTGATCTATTCTGGAGAATGGTCCATGTGCAATAGAAAAGAATGAGTATTCTACTGTTTTAGGATGGAATGTTCTGAATATATGTTAGATCCATCTGATTCAGTGTTTCATATAAAGCCATTGTTTCCATGTTTTCTATTTAGATAATCTATTGATAGAAGTGTTGTGTTAAAGTCCCCTACTATTATTGTGTTATTATCAATAAGTTCCTTTAAGTTTGTTAGTAAATGTTTTATTTATTTGGGTGTTCCCATATTGGGTGCATAAATATTTACAATTGTTGTATTATCTCCTTTATATTGTATAGTGCCTTTCTTTGTCTTTTGTTACAGTCTTTGTTTTAAAGCCTAGTTTGTCCAGTATAAGTTTGCCACTCTGGCTTTCTTTGGACATCTATTTGATGACAGAAGTTTCTTCATCCCCTCTCATTCAATCTGCAGGTGTTTTTAGGTCTAAAATTGGTCTCTTGTAGGCAAGATACTTGTTTTTTAATCCATTCTGATGCCTTATATATTTTGATTGCAGCATTTAGTCTATTTACAGTCCAAGTAATTACTGATACATGTGTAATTATTGCCATTTTATTACTTGTTTTATCATTGTTTCTGGAGATTTTCTCTGCTCTTTTCTTATCTTTGTCACTCCTGGTCTCTCCTTTCCACTCAAAGAGAACCCTTTAATATTTCTTGAGGGATGATTTAGTGGTCATGAACTTCTCTAGTTTTTGTTTGTCTGGGAAACTCTATCTCTCCTTCTATTCTGAATGATAACCTTGCTGGATAGAATATTCTTAGCTGCAGATTTTTCCCATTCACCACGTTGAATATATCACATCAGTCTCTTCTGGCTTGTCAAGTTTCTGTTGAGAAATCTTCACCTTACCTTATGAGTCTTCCCTTTCAAGTTAAGCATTTCTTTTGTTTTGCTGCTTTTAAGATTGTTTTCTTTATCACTGTATTTTGCAAATTTATTTATAACATATGTTGGTGTTGGCCTGCTTTTGTTGATTTTGGTGGAAGTTCTCTGTGCCCTCTGGATCTGAATGACTGTTTCTTTCTCTGGATTATGGAAGTTTTCAGCTATTATTTCTTCAAATAAAATTTCTGACCCCTTTTCTCTCTCTTCTTCTGTAACTCCTATAATAATGAATGTTATCATGCTTGATGTAGTCACTGAGTTCCCTAAGTCTGTTGCTGTTTTGCATAGTTATTCTTTCTCTCTTTTCTTCAACTTCATTAATTTCTGATTAATTTCCAATACTTTGTCTTCTAGGTCACTAATTCATTTCTCTGCTTCTTCCAGCCTGCTGTTCATTGTGTGAAGTCTGTTTCTTACCTCATATATTGCACTCTTCATCTCTGATTTTTTTTTTTACCTCTTTTATTTCTGTGGTAAGGATCTCACTCATGTCTTCTACTCTTTTCTCAAGCTCAGTGAATATCTTTATAACTGTTGCTTTAAATTCTCCATCAGGCATGTTACTTATGTCTGTTTTACTTATATCTCTGGCGATGGCTTTATCTTGTTCTTTCTTTTTGGATGAATTACTCCATCTTGGCACTTTTTCTAAGTCTTGGCATTCTTCTCTACATTAGAAAAGCCAGGTATGTCTTGTGCTCCTGAAAATACTGGCCTTAAGAAGAAGAAGTCAGGGCCTGGCACTTCAGGGATTGTCCCTGGTATGTGTTGTGTGTACTCTGGTGTTGTGTTTTGATTGCTCTATCCTTCAGGCTAGTCATCTGGTCACGTGGTGGGATTTAATGAGGTGTGCTTGTTCTGCTTGTGAAATGAGACCTGACACTACCTCTACCAGAACTGAGGCCCTGCAGAAAGCTCTGGTTGAGAGATGTGTTTTTTTGGGCAGGGGTTTGTGCTGGTCCTCCAGAGTAGAGGCCCACCACACTGGGAATGATGCAAGCTCAGCTGAGAGGAGTATTCCCGCCAGAGTGCATGGGCATGGGGCTTGGTATACACAAGGTAGGCAGCAAGTGTTGGTGCTATGCTGCTTTCCACAGATGGCCCTGTGTTTATACTGAGGGATAGGGAGGGAGACTGCCAGCCAGCTCCTTGGTTCCTGGAGCGGTGTCACCATCAGCACTTCTTATGGATGCACTCTGAGAACAAATAATCTCCCTCTTATGTTCCCCATGTGTTCTTCAGATCACTATTTCCAAGATATCTGCCTCTAGGTTTTTCCCCTTCCTTCTCTCCAGGAGCTATGTAGTACCCTCTGAGCTCTATGCCAGCCATGCCCACCTTTAAACTCTGGGCTTTAAGGTCCACTGGTTGCAAGAACTCATGAAATTCAACCTCTCTTATTCCAAGCCAGTAGATTTGGAGAAATGTTCTTCTTGTGCATTCCCCTCGTGCTCCTCTCTCTCTTGCCCTTCCCCATGACCATGGCTCCTTCCCCTCTGAAGTACCCATGATTCACATCTTCCCTATACCAAATCTCCACACTTTCTAACTTCTCTGATGTGGTCTTTCCCTTCCCTTCAGTTGTGTTTGTTCTGTCAGTTTTCAGGTCAGTTTCTGAGATATTTAAGATGTTGTGTTATTTAGTTGTATTCATAGGAAGAGGTAAGCCCAAGGCCCTCTTAATCTGTTGTCATCTTCCTCTCCCCAAAACCCAGAAGAATTAATATTTTTAAAATATTCATATAACCCAAAGCCAT